ATTTTCAGCAAGCAAAGACATAATGGTCTCTTCGTCAACAGATTTTATTCCACTTTCATACTCCTAAAAAAGATACAATTATTATCTTTAAATTTACAATTAATTTACATATTTATATAACATAAACATAAATAATTAATGTTTCAAAATAAGAATATAATACCATTTTGCTTTTAGCAGCGACTGATCTTTTGTTGTTGTCTTCTTTTTTTACTGGCATACTTTTCATCTGTTTTAAAATAAAAATAAGAGTTATTGAGCTTTTATTTGTAATATGTTATTCAATATATTTAATATATATTACTAAACAAATCCAGTATTTTTATAATTTAAACAAATTATCTATTTTTCAGAGTAATATTAAAACATTACTTACCAAATTATTACTGAAACGTTCCAAATAGGTTATTCGTGTTTATAAATCAATCACTGAATAGTATTTTGTAGTTTAATCTATCTTTTAATGTTAAAAATAAAAAGATTAAGTACTAACATCAACTATCAAATAATTTTTTTAATGAAATTTAATACAATTATCAATAAATAATTCAATCTCGCTTGATTTCAATAAACGTGTTTACTATACAAAACCATACTGGTGTCTTCTCTGCAGTGATCTCAGAGACTTTGTTCGGAAAAATTTGAAATCCGATAATTTCTCGGACAAGATTTTCAAAATCAGGGAAAAGAGTGCAAGTTCCAACTTTTTCAAAGTTGATGACCTTTTTTTGAAGTGAAAACTTCTTTAGAATGGAGTGATCTGAAAAGTAAATAAACGGAAACGCAGCTATGTAACGGCTGCTATACTAAATAACGAGAGAGAAAGAGACAAACATATAGGATTGAGCCTGCGAGAGAGAGACGGAATATGGCTATACAGTTTTTCCTATTCTCGGTCTCCTCTTTATGCTATGCTTCGTAGTTATCGCTCCTGGTTGTATATGTGTGCGATTGTGTGTGACTGCATACTACAAAGCGTGGACACGTATTCTTTCGATACTCGAAATGTTTGTAGGTAGGAGCGATAGAAGGGTAGAAGGAATAAACAGAGATAAGCACGTAGGTATGCGACAAAAGTATAAGGTCCAAACGAACCGACGGTCGAAATAAAGAAAGAAGGTGCGTGGTCTGTTTATGTTTTACCAAACGTGTCATTTCTTTTCTATTTAAAAATGTTTCTATTTTATTGAAAAATTAATATTATTAAATTATTTATTTATTTCGCAAATAGTATAATTAACAATTATGATATACATAGAATATAATTATATTTATTGTATTATGTATATATATATATGTATTGTCTGCAAAATTTTACAAAAAAATGAAATGATTATCAGATAAATCAGAGAAAAAAAAATTAAACAGCATTGTAGAATATTTTTCTTATAAATATCTAAAAACATGTTTTTTAATTATAATGTTTGCGTATTTAGGAAATTTATACTAATTTTCCATTAAAATAGAAAAGTTTTTAAATATAAGAAACTAGACACGTGACAAAAACATAAAACCTTATTTACTTTATATTTCCAATAAAAATGCAATAATATGTAGGAAAAATTGGTATTTAGCCATTTCATCTTCAGTTATATATATATGTAAGAGTGCGAGTGTATGGTGTACATGAAAGTGGTTGATGAAAGATTTGTAGCGATATGGATATGAGTGTGAGTGCACGCAGCGATATGGATACGAGTGCATGTTGCAAGAAAGAAAAGCGTACGATATCGGCTGATGTCATCGTTTGTAAACACCCCGAAATCTCTCGAATGTTCCCGAGCCGGAAATCGGGAAGAAGTTTTTTTGTTTGACCGATTGGGAATAGTCTGGAGATTTCTAGAATGATTAACGGAAGTGATCGGGACCATTGGTGGGGTGAATGCATATATAAGCGCGGTGAAGAGGGCGGTCCTCGGGCCCTTCTTGATTCGGTGTGACGAGTGAGTGTTATACGAGTGTAGTTACGGTTTTTCTAACTCTGGTTACTTATTTTTCTTTCGGTCTTTATCTTAAACCTTAATACTTAAGTTTTTGTTATATTATAATAAACATTTCTTTTATTCAATAAAATCTTCTATATATTTGTCTGTCTGTCTGAAACCACGCCAATCACCACACCACCATCCCCACAAATATAACTTATTTTACCAATATAGCAAAAAATTATAGAAAATAAATTTTTTACAAAAAATGTTTAATATTATAAAATAAAACAACGGAAATGATAAATAGATATTAGGATCGTTGTAATTCAAAATCCGATGAAACGAAAAAAATACGACAACAATTGTTTCCTTCTTTAACAGCATCTACAGTTATTAGTTGCAAAACAAAAAGAAATAATTGTTTATGCTAACCTTAGATAAAGATATATCAAATTCACAGAAAGTGTGAAAAATGTAAGAGAAAAAAAATTCATCTGCCTAAGTTCCAAAAAAATATATATTATGTTTACTTGGATTAAGACGGCGTATGTCCTGTCGACAAATATTCTACAATTTTCGTCTCTATCTATGGCTATCGCATTCAGCATTCCATCTTGATGGATAGAAATTTGAAAATATTAGTTTTTGTCAGCTACCTACACCCCAAGGTCGGTTCCTTATCAGGAGAAAAGAATTATAAAAAACAGGGAAGGTCTGTTAAAATTCGATCTACATTTATTATCTTTATTATAGATGCGATAATATTCATGCCAATAGTTTTTTTTTTTACAACGTGTCATATCTTTTCTATTTAAAAATGTTTCTATTTTATTAAAAAATTGGTATTAAATTCTTTATTTCGCAAATATTATAATAAATAATTATGAAGTACACAAAATATATAATAATTGTATTGTCTGAAATATTTAAAAAAAAAAAAAGATTACCAGATACATCAGAGAAAAAGAATTAAAAAATACTGCGGAATAAATTAGGAGCAGATGACAAATTCCATTCAAAAGCAAGTAAATTACTGTTATATTTTTATTTTGCTTTTTTATAAAATATATTTGATGCATAAAGACAAAATATGTCTATTAAATTTGACTTTTATATGTTTTTATGGAAAATATCCAAAGAGATGTACTGACCCATGCATATATAAAATTTATATTATAAATTGTGATATTTGCGTATTTAAGAAACTTATAGTAATTTTTCAATAAAATGAAAACATTTTTAAGATGTTGAACACCCAGCGTGAATCGGTGGATCTTACCACGGGGCTGAAATTTGAGACTCGTAGTGTACACAGTTTGATAAGCTGAGAGAGCGATACGATTCAATGCATTTTTCAGATTTTTCGTTGTTCAGATCTTTATTTAGACGAGAGTATTTAGAAAGATAAGTTTGTGGTCCAAAGAATAGGGACGAGATATGTTATAAATAATAAGAGTCTCGAAGTGTGGTAGGCTACAGAATTGAAAAAACATTTCTAGAGAATACCGGCTAGAAATCACAGGTGTGGAAGAAAATTTCAGAAGGTTTAAAAGATTTATGTATACAGGTAAAAATACTTAATATCATCAATGCTG